AAAAAAACTAAATAGCCAGGCATTGTGGTGGGTGCCTATAGTCCCAGTTACTCCAGAGGGTGAGGCAAGAGAATCGCTTGAGCCGAAGAGTTTGAGGTTGCGGTGAGCTATGACACCACTGCTCTCTACCAAGGGCAACAAAGTGACACTCTGTCTCAAAAGAAAAAGAAAAAAAAAATGGAGGGCACCTGTAGCACAGGTAGGGCGCCGGCCCCATATACCGAGGGTGGTGGGTTCAAACCCAGCCCAGGCCAAACTGCAACAAAACAATAGCCACGCGTTGTGGGGGGCACCTGTAGTCCCAGTTACTCAGGAGGCTGAGGCAAGAGAATCGCCAAAGCCCAGGAGCTGGAGATTGCTGTGAGCTGTGTGAGGCCAGGGTACTCTACCAAGGGTGATAAAGTGAGACTTGGCAAGGTAGCCTGTGCCTGAAATTCTAACACTCTGGGAGGCCAAGGCGGGTGGATGGCCTGAAATCACAGGTTTGAGACCAGCCTGAGCAAGAGAAAGAGAGAGACTGTCTCTACTAAAACAGAAACAGTTAGTTGGGAGGTTGAGCAGTTTGTTTTGCACAAGGTCGGAAATGGCTGAGCTGTGTGAACTGTAGGAAGAGTGCAACCACCTACAGATGGAGGTGATTCTGGGTGAGGGTGACCTTCCGCAGATGGAGGTAGGCAGTGGGAGCCGAGACCCATCCCTGCGACCCTCCCTCGACGGGCCCCGCTACAGCCCCAAGAGGAAGGCCCAACGCCGGAGGCCGCAGGAGGTGGTGGCGCAGCCAATGAAGGTGTCAGTGGAGAAGCAGGGCCTGGCTAACCATCCCTGGGGAGCAGCCAAGACAACTCGCGGGCCCAGACTTTGAGAATCAGGACAAGGGCGAGGAATTTGATGACTGGGAGGGCGACTATGACTATCCGGAAGAGGAGCCGCTGAGTGGTGCGGGCTACAAAGTCTCAGCGGCTCTTGAAGAAGCCAACAGGATGCTTCTGGATGGCTGGTTTCAGATGAATATGAGAAGACCCTGTTCGACCAGGTGGCTTTTATCGAAGATAGTTTTTCATTTATGGTTGTCAATCGTCTGACCGAAGAACTCAGCTGTGGTGAAATTATTGATAGAGAGTAGTTTTTTGTTTTTGTTTTTGTTTTTTGAGAGCGTCTCAAGTTGTCGCCCTGGATAGAGTGATGTAGTATCACAGCTCACAGCAACCTCCAACTCTTGGACTTAAGCGATCCTCTTGCCTCAGCTTCCCAAGTAGCAGGGACTACACGCGCTGCCACAACACCCAGCTGTATTTTGGTTATATTTGTCACTGTTGTTTGGCAGTCCACGCTGGATTCGAACCCTCGCAACTCCTGTGTATGTGGCTGGCTCCCTAGCTGCTTGAGTTACAGGCACCGAGCTGGAGAGTAGTTAAATGCTATTAAAAGAGGAGGAAACTACCTGAGGAGAGACCCAGCTTTCCACTATCTTTTAGGTTCATTCCATATAGTCCTGTGCCGATGAAAAACTTGATCTTCAGGTGGCGCCTGTAGCTCAGTGAGTAGGCTGACGGCCCCATATACCAAGGGTGTCAGGTTTAAACCCGGCCCGGCCAAACTGCAACAAAAAAATAGACGGGTGTTGTTGGGGGCACCTTTAGTCCCAGCTACTCCAGAGGCTGAGGCAGGAGAATTGCCTGAGCCCAGGGACTGGAGATTGCTGTGAGCTGTGATGCTAGAGCACTCTACCAAGGGCAATAAAGTGAGACTCTGTCTCTAAAAAAAGAAAAAGAAAAACTTGATCCTCAAAAAAAAAGAGTTTTCATTTTTCAGAATAGAAGACAATAGTACAGTGACTGCACAGTTGTGAAAAAGGAAGAGAATCATTAAAGAAAAAGAATCTTAGGGCTGTTGAAGCCTTTTCTCAAGAATGTCCTGAAACACCTGTGACTTTGACTTTGTTACTGATTCAGATTATTTTCCTTGCATTGGGAAAAACATCTTTTGTATTTGTTTCCCAGTAAAGGTGATTTTGCAAGAATAAGTCATGACCAAACTACCACGGCAAGAGTCCACTGATGTTAGTTAATGAGAAAAACATATATCCAAATAGGACACAAGATATCTGAGTTTTTTGGACTGAAAGCCTATTACAAGAAACTTTGAAAATCCCACTGTGTGATCTACTTAAGCCCTAGTTAGCAGAGGCAAAATTTTCTTTTTTCTTTTAGAGACAGTCTCACTTTCTCGCCCTCGGTAGAGTACGTGGCATCACAGCTCACAGCAACCTCCAGTTCTTGGGGTTAAGCGGTTCTCTTGCCTCAGCCTCCTGAGTAGCTGGGACTACGGGCACCCACCACAATGCCTAACTATTTTTTGCTGCAGTATGGCCAGGGCCAGGTTCGAACCTGCCACCCTCGGTATTGGGGCTGTGAGCCACAAGCACCACCCACCACCTTAGGCAAAATTTTCAATGTAAGATTGAGTATGCTTCCTTATCTCACAGGGATTAGTAAACTAATAAGTATATATTACATATGTTAAATATCTTTTTTTTTTTTTTTTTTGAGACAGAGCCTCAAGCTGTC